TTACCAGATGGCCTTTGTTAGTTTGGAATTACCTGTTTGGTCAAGTTGGTTAAAGTTTTTGACTGTTGATATGCGTTTTTACAGGCTTAAAAGCTTTTGTGGAGCTGTTTGAACGAAAGCTAAATGCGAAATGCTGGCAAGTTTTTGTCTGGTATTATGTCATACTAGTATTTTGGCAATATATACTTTACATATTTTATGGTGTGGCTTTTTACGTTTAGGACCTTTGTATTGGCTGTATGACAGGCAATGGTTTGTTTTCTTGCCTTCTGATGTTATTTGTTTTATCTTTTAATTTGGTGCTTAGAGACATAAGACTAATTGGTTTTGTATGAAATTGTGTTTTGATTTTGTATTAAATTTTCTGGGCGTGTGAGCTTTGGGATGAACGGTTCTAGTTACTTTTTGTGATAGTTGAATTTTATTATTTAATTTAATACAAACTTGGGGGGCAAACAGCATAATAACCTTTGCTACAAAATTAGGTCCGGTAAAATTGTGATAATCAGAGAGCACATACAAATTTTTGTGTGTAGCGGTCAAACCATTAGGTTGTTGACTTGTCATGTATTGTTATATTTTTATGTATGTAGTTTTAAAATATGACACTTTAGTATATTTTTCAAGAAGTATGATTGTTTGACATAAGTCTCATTTGCAGTCGAATTACATACAATATTATTTGAATTATATCATATATTCACTTTTTTTTTTTCCCTTTTTATGCTGGAATTGCGTGAAAAGTATCCGTAAAATGACTGTTTTTATTATTTCTTTTCAAAGTTAATTTATGTGTTTGCATCTAATAGCTTCTATTATCAAATTTTTGGCTTTTCAAAATGCAGTTTTTTCTTCAAATATATGTAGTTACCAACAGTTTTTTCTTCAAATATATTAGATTTTGGACATAATCTAATTGGAATGGTATGACACACCTTTTTCTTTTTCCTTTTTTTTCTTTACAATAACTTGTGCCAGTCTATCTAAAAGGTTATACGGTAATAGAAAAGTGTTGACTTTTTGAACATATGCAAACGAATCCGCGTTACTTCTAGAAGTTCGTCAAGGAGTCCCACTAACTCGTTATTGGATTCTTTTGAAAGTTGAAATGATACTGACAGTATTCACAATGTTTTGGGTCTCTTTTTGTATATGTGGCAAATAAATAGACTTAAATTTATAATGACATGAGCAAACTTAAGCTAAAAAATTCAAAATTTATCAAATGTAAAAAAAATAAGTACTAGTCTAGAATATCTAACAACCAATAAAGATATAATAATAGATAATGATTGCTATTGTAAGGTTCACACTTTGGGTCCAAAATAGACCCAAGAGTGGACTTGGTTTCTTTTTTTATTGCCACATAAGTTAGATTAGGTCCACTTTTAATTGCATTGTGAAATATTTTTTTTATTGACTAGGTCTATTTCCTACATGACATGTGATTTTTTTAAAGAGACCCAAAGCATTGTGGTTGCTCTGACGTTTCTAAACGACTTCAGTACGAAGCATCTCCCATTAACTGAACTCAATTGATAATAGCGCAGTCAAACAAGTGAGGGAATATGTTGGAATAATTAAACGTAATGAGAGCATCTCCAATGGTATGTCAATTGTAGAGGTATTAGGACAGAAAACTTGTCCAACAGTGAGTTTTTTTTTACTTCTACACAGGGGAGGAGCCACCCGAAAGGCTAGGGTGGGCTCCAACCCAGGGTACTTTAGAAAAATAAAATAAAAATTTAAATAGTCCAGTATAATAATTTTATACCAGTTAGCCTGACCCAAAAATTTAACTAGCCCTGCCTATGAAGAGAACATCGTCATCTTTGTTCTTCACAATTCACGCGATCAGAATTTCAAAAATTGTAAGGCAAGGACAAAGTGCTCGTCCGGAGTCAGTCCCAAAAAGAGTGTCGAACGGAGAAACAAAAATCCTTTTCTCCCTCAATTTCAGCCGCGACCCGCGACCTGCGAGAAGCCCGTTCGGCGTCCGCCGCGAGAATCCCGTCCGACGGCCTCAATTTCACCTCGTCGTCTGCTGGTCTTGCGTCTGCCCGACTGCCCAAGAAATTTCCAGTGGTCATCTCTCTTTTTTGTTTCTATTTTTTTTATTAAATGCTTTTATAATTATTAATTAGGGCTTTATGGGAGTGAAATATGTTCAATTGCTGTTCAATTGCTTGATGAAAAAGTGTTGTGGAGAAGAAGAAAAAGTGGTTTCAAAATATGCAAATTCCGATTTTCATACTATTTTTGCTTTCATTTAAAGTTGTGACTTATGTTGGCTGAACATATAAACATCATGTGTAATCTATCATTATATAAAAAGAATAACCTTTTTACAAATTTAGAAACATTTTCCCGCCAAAATCATTAAATATATCCTATATATAGTAATTGTTGGACAAATCTGAATAGGCAAATAAATTGGCTCATTAATTGTGTAAAGATTTGTTTCTCTTTTTCATATTCTTTAGTTTATCAAAACCGTTGTTTGACAATAAATATTTGTTTTTTTTTTCTATTTTTAGTATAAATCTACACGAGCTTATCTTTTGTTGTTACAAATCCCATTGCATATGTCTTGCGTGTTTAAAAAATCTCATCCCTTATCTATACAGATTTGAAAAAATAAAATAAAATAGAAACCAATTCATAATTTCTATTAGAAATCAATTATCTTTAAAAAGAAAAAAATACAATAAAATAGAAACCAATTCATAATTACTACTAGAAATCCATTAACTACTTTAAGAAGCTAATTTTCATCGGTCTAATTACTAATATTTTTACAAATATTATAAGCTAATCATACAAAAAAGTATAATAATAATTTTGAAATGGTGTGTAATCAAATTTTTTTATATTCTCTTATATATAATAATTTTACATTGTTTGACCCGGAATCTTTAATTTATAATTATTAAGTATTGTTTATCCTCCTCTTTAATTTATAATTATTATTTTTTCTTCGTCTTTTTAAATAGGATCAATAGTAGTTTCTACTTCCGCCATTGAGTGACTCAAACTCGAGGTCTATTTATAATATTGTTAATTTAATATTGTTCCCGTGCATCGCACGGGGTACACACTAGTGTGTTTGTTAAATATATTGACTGTAGTTCTGTTATGCGTGTCAACAGTTAATATATGTATTTTCAGTTCTAAATTTACAAATCCATCTATCTACATGAAACTAGGAGGAAAAATATTTTTTAATAGTAAAGGAGGCATTGTTATGTCCTTAATCTTAGGAAACTAACAAACTCCTTGTTTACAGTTTATCTCAAGTTCCAAATTCCAATAAACTGTCTTGAACTAAATGCAATAGGTATATTCGTGATTTTCACGCAAATATGTTGTCAAATTAATAAACTTTGTAGTATAACATTGCTTGACAGTTATGCCTTTTGTTTTGGTTGGTTTAATTTTGGCTTTGCTTGCTAAAGGTCCGGGTTTAATTACTTCCTTCAGTTTTAGTTTAAATTATAGCTTCTTGCCTTCATTTTTAGTTTAAATTATAGTTTCTAATTGTTTTTTGGGTCCTCAGTTTGTGAATTGTAATATAAATAAAATCGATATATATACTCTCCAAAAATCAACAACTGTGTTACATCCCACTTGACTTTTTGTCATTTTCGAATTGAAAATGTGAAAAATAACAGTGTATTGTAAAGTCTACATTTAAAATATCTTATTGATATTATTTGGTTGATGCTTGTAGGTTGATTTTTCAAATGGATGCCCACATAGGAAAGAAGAAAACTATGCTCTCCTTTTTTAAGCCCAAGTCGGCTACGAAGGATTCTTCTCACCCTAATGCGGAAACTTCAACCCAAAGTGATTTTGAAAACCAACATACGGCTAAGTACCAAAGGGTGGATATTGATGTGAGCGACTATGTTTTTCTAGATCCGGCTATGCGTACTCCAATATGGCAATGTCCTGTAAATGAACGAGACGCAATTAGGCGATCGTATATCTTGAGAGGACTATATCAACCTATTATGAAGTTTCCGTCAACGAAAATTGGAGATCAATATCGGCGCTTTCAACAAAGTTGGTATAAGCAATTTCAGTGGATAGAGTACTCTCCTAAAAAAAATGCGGCATTTTGTTTCCCTTGTTTTATTTTTCAAGAAAAAGAAGCCCGTCAACCGACTTTTACAATTGAGGGATTTAAAGATTGGAAAAGAGTCAATGATGGCAAAAGATGTGCCTTTTTGGTTCATGCGGGAAGTCCTATGTCACCACATAATAATGCCTTGCAATCTATGAGCCTTTTGATGAATGCAAGTGGTCACATCGATAAAGTGATGAATGCACAAACATCAGAGGAAGTGAAAAAAAAAATCGTTTGAGACTTATCACAACAATCGAAAGCATTCGTTGGCTTTGTTTGCAAGGATGTACATTAAGGGGACATGATGAATCATCATCTTCAAAGAATCAAGCTAATCTTATTGAGCTAATAAAACTTATGGGAAAAATGGATGTCAATGTAAAAAATGTTGTGCTAGAAAATGCGCCAAAAAATGCAAAGTATACGTCACCGGACATTCAAAAAGATATTTTGCATATTTTTGGTGAGAGAGTGAGGAGAAAGATTCATGAAGAGATCGGAAGTGCAAAATTTTGTCTCTTAGTTGATGAAGCTAAAGACATATCAAACAAAGAACAAATGGTAATTGTGTTGAGATTTGTTGATTGCGAAGGCTTCTTAAAGGAGCGATTCTTTGATATTGTGCATGTAGCCGATACCACTGCCTTGACACTTAAGAATGAAATTTCTAATGTGCTTGGTCGATACGAGTTGTATATCAAAGATATTCGTGGTCAAAGATATGATGGTGCTTGCAATATGCGTGGATCGTGGAATGGTTTACAAGCTTTGTTCTTAAGGGACTCTCTACAAGCATAGTATGTATATTGTTTTGCACATAGACTTCAATTGGCGTTAGTGGCGGCGGCTGAAAAAGAGAGCTCCATTTAGTTATTTTTTTCAAAGTTGACTTCAATTTGTAATCTCATCAAGGCATCGCCTAAACGTCATAGCGAGTTACAATCCACCCAAGCTATTGAAATCGCAAAGGGAAAAAATCTTTTTCACCCCAATACAAAGATACATTAAGTTTTTACACCGCCCACTAACAATCTAACTTTTTCACTCCAGAAAGTGGAAGGTTATGCGAATGGACTGCATAACTATCGCATATCAATTGCATAACTGTCGCATATTCATCGCACAATGTCTTCGCACTTTAACTTTTTCCACCCCAGAAAGTGCGAAGGGATATGCGAATGCCTTCGCACTTCTAACTTTCGCACAATGTCATCGCGCAACTATCGCATATTCATCGCACAATGCCTTTGCACTTTAACTTTTTCCACCCCAGAAAGTGCGAAGGGATATGTGAATGCCTTTCGCACTTTCTGGGGTGAAAAACTTAACTTTTTATTGGGCGGTGTGAAAAACTTAGCAAGACTTCAAAATGGTGTGA